AAAAAACTCGACCTCCAGCTCGGATGGATCCAGTTTGCTGAACGACCCAAGTTGCAAGTCTTTTGGAAACCCGTTAAGGCCTGAATACTGGCATAGTGTACCAACGATCCAACGGCCCATTTCGTCCCTTTTTTCTCTACTTGGAGGTGCAGTTCCAGTCATAAATGGATACATAACCATAGGTATACGGTATACGGTATACTGTTCATATGAGTTATATCCCAATATATGTGGTTTATAACCATGGTTATATCCATTTGCAACCCCAATTTGAAGAAGTCAAGTCTCCTCCAAACATCTAAACGGCATCATGTCATCCGAGCTAAATGGAGGTTTATAGCTGGGGAAATCATCTATACATGATGGATTTTCATTGCCATCTGTGATTACTGGAGGGTTTTTGGAGAAAAAAAAACGAACTCTTCCAGTGCTATGATCCCCTGCGGACTGTACCACCTCCCCCAACGAACCCTGAGAATCGCCCGTTTGAAGAGGAACGATGAGGAAAGTAGTCTTCCAACCCACAAACTGACAGAGTCTATGTGTCGTCGGCCGCAGTGATCTTGGAAAAACAAATCTTAAAAACCTAAGGTGAAACTATACCACAGCCTATCCGCTGGTAATCAGACATGGGAAATCCAACGATGAGCGGATGGACACCAGGCCTTTCCTTTCCAAGGAGCCGGCCGGACACCAGCCGGCTATCCGAATCAAATCATCAAGTTCGAAACATCTCCAGATTTATCCCATGGAATTGCCCACCCACCACTTTCCCCATCAAAAACCACCTACCCAAATTTGGGGTGTAAAACTGGCTAGTTGGTCCATTGGGTCGATGATGTACATCCCCTTTTTGTGGCTTGGTCATTTACATTAGGGCTAGCCTATTCCATCGGTGAGTCATCATTCTCCCTACCAAAATACGCCCATTTCAGGGGTAAAATCCTCGACATCCTGAATTGGATTGCCTCACCAAGCAACTCTAATTGACTGTTCTCTGCAGCAAAAGCCACGGACAACAGAATGCGGCCGCGCGCCGCATGGAAGTACCTCGGTGATGGCCAGGCCGGTGAGCATCTCAAGTTTTGGAACAAGATATATCAAAATAAATAGTGTATTCTATATGCATGTGTATAGATATGTATATATATGTTTTATATATTATACATGTAGATAGATAGATCTCAACCTTAGATGAACGTGCTATATTCTATTAAATATATTCTATATTCAGTACAGGTCGAGATCTATAGACATTGTAGAACGCTGATCTATGGATACCATCGGTGCTGTGACAGCCATGGGATTGTCTCAGAATTTGCAACCTCGTTACATCCCAGGATAAACTGTAACAATTCGTCACTAACCTCAAATGGGAATTTCCATACATGACGGTATCCTAAAATGGATGGTTTAGAATGGAAAATCCTGTTGAAATGGAGGATTTAGGGGTACCCCTCAGGAAAACCCTCAAATAAGGCAATTTTGGGATGCTGACCCCTACCCACCATCATTCCAGTCACATCGCAATGAGGTCATGAAAATTCACGCAGAAACCCACCATTTCTGATGCTTCCTCCGGGACTCGCGACGCGAGGACTTCGTCTTCGGCAATCTCCCAGGGCACCTTTTCCAAATAGCCTGGCGCAGCTATGATATCCATCACTGGGCCGATTTTTTGTGGCTTCCACAATGCCAAAAATCTGCTTTGCTTCCACAAAAACACCTCGGGCATACGGCGCCCAAGAATGAAGTTGCCAGTTACTACATGCTATCTGGATGAATCATAATACTTCACAAGCCTGGAAACTACCGCTTTTGGGGAAGGGTTAGCCATGAAAAGAAACATCCTTTCAGGAGCTCGGTCGCATTCGATAATGGCGGTCATAATTCATCCAAATGTTTCTACTGCCATTCATCACAATTCCAGATCATACATCCAGATGTTACTGGCCATCACCATAATTCATCACTCATGACAAGTGGATGATGCAAGTCGAACTTATTCATCAGGACTTATGGGTTGGATCGTTTCATGATAAGTTCATCCATCCATCCATCCATCCATTCATTCATTCATTGATCATTCATCTGAATGTACTATATCATCCCGATGTGGGTCGCGATGTCTTTTCCCATGCCTCGCAGGACTTCTTGCAAGACCATCACAGGATCCGCCTATGAACGCTGCGGGTCAAACCGATTCAGTGAATTCCACCTTAAAATGGCACGGGAACCAAGCCCCAAACATCTTCCACAAGACGGGACGAAAACATGTGAAAACCTTCCTTCACTGCTGGTAAATGGTCAAAATATGTCAAAATGTGGTTCTTGATGTTTTTTTTGGTGTCGGAACATCAGGTCTTTCCCTCAGAAGTTCCAGTTACGAGCTGGATCCATCGTTGAATGAACAATTTAAGCAGGTTCCAAAAGGTTTTGTTCAAAAAAGGTGGCGAACTTGGAGAATCCTGTTTCGGGATCTTCTGGCGCTACAAAACCACGGGTTTACCTCGGAACCATCATAGAAATCCCCGTCCATAAGTTGCAGAAGTAGGCGATTTACCGGCCATTCCTTAGAAATTGCGATCCAGGAACCCTGGAAAAAAAAGTAACAAATCTTCATCGATTCCCAGTGGATTTTCCCAGATCCCCTGGTCCACCTGGCACAGGCTGAAGTATCCTGGCTGTGCGGCCCCGGTCATGGCGATGCTGAAAAGGTGAAGGTTTACTCATTCTGTTTTAGTCGGATTTTACCAAATAGTTTTCCTTTTTTGCGGAGGTGCTGTAACCTGAAAAATTAACCTTGAACAACCCACAAGGAAGTTACAGTAATTTTGAGCAGGATAGCATAGTGTTCCTCCATTTTTTTGCTGAACAACGCCCCATCAACCAACAAAAAAAACAACTCACCACGGCTTAGCACATAGATGTTCCAAGAAAATCGCAGATTCATGTCAAAGGCGTCAATTTGGCAGACACATTTTGAGTGTTCCCTGCAAAGATTCCGGGTGTTCCATTCAAAAGGGATGCTCCCTCAACTTCGAAACCCTCCCAATTCGAAACCCTCCCAATTCGTTCGAAAAGACTTAAGAATACCACCAACATTGGTTGCCCTTCAGTACATTGACATAGATATGGGGAATCGCCCATGTATATATATATATATGATTATCCCATGTTTATTTATTCGTCTTGATGAATCTTGATTAGCATACTCAGCCCATACCAACTCCCACCCTTCTGACTCGGGAAGCCCCCACCTGGATGTTGGAAACCCCCACATTCCCTTTCACATCCCTTCACTATGATCATCAAACTTTTAATATTGACCCTCTATATCAACCTCCACCAGTGTTAGTGACTATTAGTGGGTAGCGCACATTACAACCCACAGATAGAGGTTATATGGCAAAAATCAAATGAAAGCACTATAAGGCAAAAAACTGTTTGCCAATTGGTGGTATCTCCTCATATGAACCATGATCACAACATGGTAAATGGGTTGTGTATGGTCATCCATCCCACAACGGTAATCCTTATAATGGGTATACAAATCCCTAGTAATAAATTGATAACCATCCCGCAATGTGGGAAAACAATCCAACCAATTGACCATGGCTCTTGGAAACCTTGATTTTTATGAACGAGTTATATCATCGAAGTACTGTTGATATCTGTTGATCCATCCTGGTTTTCACAGAAAAATCGGCATCTTTTCAGGGATTCCAGGGATCCCATCTTCCCATCATCTTCCCATCCCTTCGTCCTGCCGCGATGGCGGGTTCAAAGATGCGACAGCTGTAGATGGAATCCCCAAAATCCAGGATCCCGGCCTCGGGATTTCACGGGAGATGGAGAATTCATGGTGATTTAACTCAGATACAACATGGAAAATGGAGAAAACATATGAAATTAATATGAAATAAATATGAAATAATGGGATGTGGTGATATGATGAAAAACAAATCATGGCAAATCACCTATATGTCAACGTTTTGCTCTCCTAGCCGGTCTAACATAGCTTTACCACCATCTACAAATGGCCATGTTTTTTTCTGGGGATCAACCCGTTGGTAAACCACATTTATGGGGAAAACCGGTGATTCACGAGTTTACAAAACGATATAGAGTGTGATTTTTTCGATGTTTTAACCATCCATTTTTGGGTGAGAAATGATGTTAGCCATTTCCATTGAAAATGCTATCGCCAGCTGTCTTGGTCACAGGTGAAACTGCTGGTTACATTCGTGTTGGTTCGGATATTCGTTTTGGTGATTAACAATTCATTATTCAAACAATTCTGTTGCTTCGGATACATGGGCTACTGACAATAAATGGCCATGGTTTATTGAATATCGCTTGTTGGTACTGCCAAAAATTGTGAAACAAGAAACAATGGCTAAATTCTACGTTATCATACATTATTTACAAGTGTATCTCAAAACATTGTACCTCTAAGTTGGTTAGTCAAATGTTAATCTGGTATGCTGATTTCAGATAAAAAATAGACATCATACATGTTTTTTCTACATATGTATCTGAAATCAAAAATGTGGAAAATACCAGAAATTTGTGGTCTCCGCCAGAGACAGATCTCCGGGACACCAAAGCAGGCGCATCGGAGCCGTCGCTCTCGAACAACAGGTTGGTGTCCTTGGGTTCTCGAACAACAGGTAGGGTTGGAAATTTTCGATTCATATGTGTATAATATGTATGTATGTATGTATGTATGTATGTGTATGTATGTATGTATGGATGGATGGATGGATGCATGTATGCATGTATGCATGTATGCATGTATGCATGTATGCATGCATGCATGCATGCATGCATGTATGCATGTATGCATGAATGCATGTATGCATGTATGCATGTATGCATGTATGCATGTATGCATGTATGCGTGTATGCATGTATGCATCTATGCATCTTTGCATCTATGCATCTATGCATTTATGCATGTATGGATGTATGGATGTATGGATGCATGTATGCATGTATGCATGTATGCATGTATGCATGTATGCATGTATGCATGTATGGATGTATGGATGTATGTATGCATGTATGCATTCATGCATGTATGCATTCATGCATGTATGCATGTATGCATGTATGCATGTATGCATGTATGCATGTATGCATGTATGGATGTATGGATGCATGGATGCATGGATGCATGGATGCATGGATGCATGGATACATGGATGCATGTATGCATGTATGCATGTGTGCATGTATGCATGTATGCATGTATGCATGTATGCATGTATGCATGTATGCATGTATGGATGTATGCATGTATGCATGTATGCATGTATACATGCATGTATGCATGTATGGATGGATGGATGGATGGATGGATGCATGTATGCATGTGTGCATGTATGCATGTATGGATGTATGGTTTGCCAGCGGGATAGTGTACATTCCCATGGTGAAAAAATGGGTTTACCAAGGTTTACCCAAATGTTTGGGGCTCAATTATCATTGATGACGCCAAAACCAGCCGCCTGAACGGCCACATTTGGAATACCAACATGTAGGTTGAAGTCTAAAGTAAATCATATATCTAGAGAGAACAGCTCGCCGCATCTTGCTGCATCTGAGACATCCTTTTCGAAAAAAACTTGCGAAACAATTGAAAAAAAAAAAAGGTCAGAGGATTGTTCATTGTTGCCTGAGAACACGGTGACAAAGTACCCGAACAACAAATTTAGGAAGTTGGTCAATGAAAAATCCTCTAACATATCTTCCAAGCTCTTCGGTCTTATTACACGTTTGAAACCACAAACGACTAAATAAACTCTGCCTTGGTAACCCTTTCTGCAAACAACTTGGTAACACCCTCTCTCTACCGACGTCCCCTTTGGTGGAAAAATTAAAACGACCCTGTCTTCACCCCTTTTCGTGAAACACAGACTTAGAAGAAAAAAACATTTGTCCTTAACCGGTGGTCCAAAGTTGTTGTTCCCTAAACTTACAAGTGAGAAACACAAGTCAACCGTTAACACCTGTCCCCACTCCGTCCTACACCCGAGGCCCTTCGCACTCCAGCACTGTTTTTCAAAGGCGTCGGACGCCGAGTAATGGAAAAATGCCCCGCTTATGGGGGGCGTTGTTCAATCGGTCCCCCACCGATCTTAAAAATCCCCTCTTATGGGGGGTGACATGCAATCTTGTTTGAGCTCAGCTATGGGCGGAGCAAGCCTCCACGCTCATAGCTGAGCTCAAACAAGAAACTCCGTCCGGCAGTTGCAGCTGCCCACGCAGCAGCTGCAACTGCTGGAAGGCAGCGCCATGAAACGGAAGCTGGACCTCCCACCTGCGCCCCTCGCGCAGGTGCAGGCGAAGGAAATCCTCCGCTGCAGCAAAGGCCCATGCCCCAAGCCGCGTCTCGGCACGAAAACTCACCCAAGATGCTCGTTCCTCTAGCCAGGTTGAACCATACCACGTGGCAACTCTGACCTCAGAATAGCTATACTTTCAAAAACCCGCAATCCAAAAGAACCCCCCCCCAAAAAAAAGTACCAATCTTATGGAAACATTATCAGCACCAATCATTATGCATAGTAACGTCTTGGAATCAAAATGCTTACAACTGGATGCAGGGATGATCCATACATATCCCCTTGTAACAAGAAGAAAAGACCCAACCAAACAAAACCATACAAAAAAGATCACAAAAGCATCATCAAAAACGCCAAGGCACAGCATCGTGCGGCAGGTTGAAAAAAGGTACCATGGTCACTTGTGACCCTATTATCCGGTCACTTGTGACCCTATTCTACCCGGTCACTTGCGACCCTATTATCCGGTCACCTGCGACCCTATCCCTTTAATAACTCTCCCCCCCCCTGCGTCTCCACCACTTCCCCCCCTGCGTTCCACTAAACCATGGTCTCCATTCTACTTCTTTATTTGAATTTCCCCCCCTGCGTTCCACTAAACCATGGTCTCCATTCTACTTCTTTATTTAAACTTCCCCCCCTGCGTTTCACTAAACCATTGTCTCCATTCTACTTCTTTATTTAAACTTCCCCCCCCTGCGTTCCACTAAACCATTGTCTCCATTCTACTTCTTTATTTAAACTTCCCCCCCCTGCGTTCCACTAAACCATTGTCTCCATTCTACTTCTTTATTTAAACTTCCCCCCCTGCGTTCCACTAAACCATTGTCTCCATTCTACTTCTTTATTTAAACTTTTACTTCTTTATTTAACTTCCCCACCCCTGCGTTCCACTAAACCATTGTCTCCATTCTACTTCTTTACTTAAACTTCCCCCCCCTGCGTTCCACTAAACCATTGTCTCCATTCTACTTCTTGATCTAAACTTCCCCCCCCTGCGTTCCACTAAACCATTGTCTCCATTATACTTCTTTATTTAAACCCCCCCCCCGCGTTCCACTAAACCATGGTCTCTATTCTACTTTTTTATTTAAACTTCCCCCCCGTGTTCCACTACACCATTGTCTCCATTCTACAGATAGATAGATAGATAGATAGATAGATAGGTAGATAGGTAGATAGGTAGATAGGTAGATAGGTAGATAGGTAGATAGGTAGATAGGTAGGTAGATAAATAGATAGATAGATACATATTGTCTAGCTAGCTAGCTAGCTAGATAGATAGACAGATAGATACATAAATAAATAACATGGAGCTTCGAAGCCCTAAAACGAAGCTTTTCTGCGAGACTTCCTTCAAAAATGAAGCTTCCAAACTCAAAAAAACAAGCTTTTCTGCGATACTTCCTTCAAACATGAAGCTTCGAAGCTCTAAAGCGAAGCTTTTCAGCGAAACTTCCTTCAAAAATGAAGCTTCGAAACTCAAAAACCAAGATTTTCTGCGAGACTTCCTTCAAAAATGAAGCTTCGAAGCTCTAAAACGAAGCTTTTCTACGAGACTTCCTTCAAAACTGAAGCTTCCAAACTCAAAAACCAAGCTTTTCTGCGAAACTTCCTTCAAAAATGGAGCTTCGAAGCTCTAAAACGAAGCTTTTCTGCGAGACTTCCTTCAAAAATGAAGCTTCGAAGCTCTAAAACGAAGCTTTTCTGCGAGACTTCCTTCAAAAATGATACTTCGGGCACGAATAGGGTCACAAGCGACCACAAAGGGGACGCACCATTTTTGTGTGACAGGCGTGGGACTCCAAGCACACTTGGTCACTTGTGACCCTATCTTTTTTACTTCAGATCGAACATAGAAACAGTGAATAGGGTCACAAGCGACCAATGTACCTTGAAAAAACCTAGCCTGGCTAGGAACCAAAACGACCCCTGAAGTCTACGATGCCCGAGAGCAACCTCAAACAGGGTTGACGTCACAACCAGAAGAAAAACATTTCTGCAACTAACTTTAAAGCTGTGTCCTGTAATGGATGCATGTATGCATGTATGCATGTATGCATGTATGCATGGATGCATTGATGCATGGATGGATGGATGGATGGATGGATGGATGGATGGATGGATGGATGTGTGTATGCATGTATGCATGTATGCATGTATGCATGAATGCATGGATGCATGTATGCATGTATGCATGTATGCATGTATGGATGTATGCATGAATGCATGTATGCATGCATGTAAGCAGGTATGCATGTATGCATGAATGCATGTATGCATGCATGTATGCATGTATGCATGCATGTATGCATGTATGGATGGATGGATGGATGGATGCATGTATGCATGTGTGCATGTATGCATGTATGCATGCATGTATGCATGTATGCATGTATGCATGCATGTATGCATGTATGGATGGATGGATGGATGGATGCATGTATGCATGTGTGCATGTATGCATGTATGGATGTATGGTTTGCCAGCGGGATAGTGTACATTCCCATGGTGAAAAAATGGGTTTACCAAGGTTTACCCAAATGTTTGGGGATCAATTATCATTGATGACGCCAAAACCAGCCGCCTGAACGGCCACATTTGGAATACCAACATGTAGGTTGAAGTCTAAAGTAAATCATATATCTAAAGAGAACAGCTCGCCGCATCTTGCTGCATCTGAGACATCCTTTTCGAAAAAAACTTGCGAAACAATTGAAAAAAACGGTCAGAGGATTGTTCATTGTTACCTGAGAACACGGTGACAAAGTACCCGAACAACAAATTTAGGAAGTTGGTCAATGAAAAATCCTCTAACATATCTTCCAAGCTCTTCGGTCTTATTACACGTTTGAAACCACAAACGACTAAATAAACTCTGCCTTGGTAACCCTTTCTGCAAACAACTTGGTAACACCCTCTCTCTACCGACGTCCCCTTTGGTGGAAAAATTAAAACGACCCTGTCTTCACCCCTTTTCGTGAAACACAGACTTAGAAGAAAAAAACATTTGTCCTTAACCGGTGGTCCAAAGTTGTTGTTCCCTAAACTTACAAGTGAGAAACACAAGTCAACCGTTAACACCTGTCCCCACTCCGTCCTACACCCGAGGCCCTTCGCACTCCAGCACTGTTTTTCAAAGGCGTCGGACGCCGAGTAATGGAAAAATGCCCCGCTTATGGGGGGCGTTGTTCAATCGGTCCCCCACCGATCTTAAAAATCCCCTCTTATGGGGGGTGACATGCAATCTTGTTTGAGCTCAGCTATGGGCGGAGCAAGCCTCCACGCTCATAGCTGAGCTCAAACAAGAAAACTCCATCCGGCAGTTGCAGCTGCCCACGCACCAGCTGCAACTGCCGGAAGGCAGCGCCATGAAACGGAAGCTGAACCTGCCACCTGCGCCCCTCCCGAAGGTGCAGGCGAAGGAAATCCTCCGCTGCAGCAAAGGCCCATGCCCCAAGCCGCGTCTCGGCACGAAAACTCACCCAAGATGCTCGCCCAGCCAGGTTGAACCATACCACGTGGCAACTCTGACCCCAGAACAGCTATACTTTCAAAAACACGTAATCCAAAAGAAACCCCCAAAAAAAAGTACCAATCTTATGGAAACATTATCAGCACCAATCATTATGCATAGTAACGTCTTGGAATCAAAATGCTTACAACTGGATGCAGGGATGATCCATACATATCCCCTTGTAACAAGAAGAAAAGACCCAACCAAACAAAACCATACAAAAAAGCATCATCAAATACGCCAAGGCACAGCGTCGTGCGGCAGGTTGAAAAAACCTAGCCTGGCTAGGAACCAAAACGGCCCCTGAAGTCTACGATGCCCGAGAGCAATCTCAAACAGGGTTGACGTCACAACCAGAAGAAAAACATTTCTGAAACTAACTTTAAAGCTGTGTCCTGTAATGGATGCATGTATGCATGTATGCATGTATGCATGTATGCATGTATGCATGTGTGCATGTATGCATGTGTGCATGTATGCATGTGTGCATGTATGCATGTATGTATGTATGTATGTATGTATGCATGCATGCATGTATGTATGTATGTATCTATCTATGTATGTATGTATGTATGGACGTATGTATGGATGTATGTATGTATGTATGTATGTATGTATGTATGTATGTATGTATGTATGTATGTATGTATGTATGTATGTATGTATGTATGTATGTATGTATGTATGTATGTATAATATATATATATACAGTTACCTACACTCACATTTATTTGAAAACCTCCAACCAGTTGGCTGTTGATCTTGGGAGAAGCTCCTCAAACAGAGACTCACGGTGCCGATTTCACCGTTCCGCCTTCACAAAGCGATGGACTCAGCATTCACCGGGACCTCTTTCATCGTGTTTAATCCAACTTGGGCAATAAATTCTTCTGTTTCATGAATTTTGAAGCTGCAGAATAAAAACAAACTTCACTTGCTAAGTGTGACTTAGCAAATATTCAACCACTATGGAAACCAGAGCACATTGAGATCCGCATGGAGCACGCTGTGTGGCAACTTTGAGACCCGCTCCTGTAGCCGTAGCTTTCGTTCGATCGTGTCGTGGGAGAAAATGATCATGTCGTGTTTTGCCATCATGTACCCTCTGGTTATGACTAACATAGCCATGGAAAATCCCCAACCATAAATGGAGGTTTCTAGCTGGGAAAATCATCTATTTCTATGGGCCATCTATACCATGGCTATGTTAAATAACCACAGGGTAACTACCATGTATCCAACCGTTAAGGAAGAACACGGATGCGGGGATCTAACCACCATGCGAATTTCACGCACAACGGTTAATAAGAGATGAATGAAATGTGAAGATTTCACCAACAATCATGAAGATATGACACCTGGAATTTAGCAGTTGATAAAAAAACAATGAAAGTGTACACAGAACTGAGACAAACGACCAACTAGAACGGGCTGTGAAGGCAAAAGTAGTGATACAAACCCCAATACCAACGTGGGTAAAACATAACGGCAACAGTGACGGAAGCCACAACAAAGGAGACAGCTGCTACCCAGTCATACCTTGACGTGTGAGGTTCCAACTCTTGAGATGTCCAGACAAAGCTATGGGTTTTTACCCAAGAATTGGGTAACTATATACATTTAAGTACCTCAAATTCCCGTCCATGTAATTGTCCCAATTCAAATGGCCCGGTTTTTGAATTGCTTAAATCCCCAAGTTCCGTCACTTCCATAGGAAAATCACCATCATATGCGTGTGAAATCTCCATGTTGATCGCTTCAGCAAAATCACCGCAGTTTTTGGGTGGTCCATCCCCCAACTCCCCCAACCGGGCACCCTCCTCGCTCAGCGCTTCAGCATAGCCATCGCAGAGCCGCTGTGCCAAATTGCGCCGTTCAGAAGTGAGGTGGTGCAGTTTACTCCTGAAAAAACCAACAGTGGCTGCAAAAATCCCAGCAATTACCCTCTGGTAATGACTAACATAGCTATTGAAAATGGTCCATTTATAGTGAGTTTTCCCGTGAAAAATGGTGATTTTCCATAGTTATGTTAAATTACCAGAGGGTATGCTAGTGAGATGATTTTCTCACCAAATAGCTCCATATTACTCCATATTCATCATTTTATGTTATGGATTGTAGATGATTGTAGTAATGTGGTAAAGCCAAGAATAAACCATCCCCAATTTGGTCGGTGAATGGGATGGTTTGTGGCACTGGCTTTGCCACACTAATGGGATAACCCCAAGAATTATATATATGGGATTTGAGCAAGATGAGAATAAACCCAAGAATGGGAAAACAAAATGAGGACATTATGCAGGTTCAATCATTTAACATCATTTAACCAACAAAAATATGCTGGATTCTATGGATACAATAGTGATATGCTGACAACAAAATGGGGAAATAATTCATGGGATATCAAAACCCGAAAAGTCCTTCCATTCTACTGGCTGGTTCATAGGGATTATTGGGTAGTATAATTTTCATTATTCACTAAGGTAAAATAAACCCAAACCCTCACAATTGACCAAAAAAACACAAATGGTTATCAAACCCTGGGTAGTACAATCCCCTATAATCAGCCAGGGGTTTGAACAGATGCTAAAGTAAGCTCCAGAAGCTCCCAAAATCAGCCTGGAACACCGGAAGCTGCACCGAAAGTCCCTTTTCTCAGCCAACGCTGTTGGGGAAAAATGGGCATGGTTTAAAAATGGAGGCAACAAAAGTACAGTAAGCCTCAAAAAAGATGCAGAAATGTGATTTGCCGTACTATGTTTGTAAGACTTTTACTTGTCTGTATCTTGGTTGGATAATATCAGCAAAAATGAAGATATAACAACCTAACCCCAAAAAATGGATCGAAAATGATATTGATGATGAAATTGATAAGGATCATGCTGATGATCATGATGATGATCATGATGGTGACACAATACTGAAGAGGATGTGTCGTGTCGGTTAATATCCCACCCACAAAGCAGGGGTGGTTTATTGCTCAAAAGCAATCAGAACAATTGAAAAAAAAGAAAAAATATTGGTTGTCACGGGTTCCAAGAAAGATAGAAAAGCTGTTGCAACCTGTAGATAATGTCTACCTCATAGCTTTCGGGTGTTCGACTCTTTGTATTGTGGGCTCTAAATGTCAGCAAGTTTCTATTCAGTGACCAGTAGCTTGTAGGGAGTGCTGGTACCAGCCGTGTTGCCACTCTTGTTTCATGTTCAACCCGGAGACCCAAACACCTTTGAGAAATCACCTGAGATCCTGTTGGAAATCCCCGGCATTCACAGGTCATTCTCAAGCGGGCTAGTGTTTGAGGGCTTCCCCACCCTTGTTCAAGCAAAATCACTTGCAAGCCCGATCATCAGGCTTCCGTTGAATCCCTATTTAAACATCCCCTATTGATGGTGTTAGTCACTAGCTGATCACCATTTCCACTGATGTTTATACACCCAACTTGCGGGAATCTCTGGTCCTGACAACTTGTGGCACGCACTTCATGTCCCAATCCCAGGTCCAATGAAATCCTCAAGCACGGCTGGGAAATCACTGAACGAAATGGAGGTTTGAGTGAAAGTTTTGGGAAAATCCCCGGTAAATAGAGCTTTGAATGGGAAAAAACGTCGAACCAAATAAGGGATGTTCCAGCAAGTCATGTTGGATTGCCAGAGGGTACCCCGGGTACCCCCCATGTCAGGCAATCCTGTTCCGCCAAAAGCTTTCACCCTTCCCCAACGGTGAAATGCATTGGATCCTTTCATCGGTCCCAAACAGGTGGCATCATCCTACTATATACTACTACTACTAATAATAATAATAATACTTCACAAAGCAAGTTTTTCACCACTTGCAATCCGGGGAATGCTGATCCAGGGAAAGACCTAAGGCTGGGTTTTGACATTTCAAACCAAGTCTGGCAGCTACACCATCGTCCCATCTCCCGGACTCCCTGATTTTAGGTCCACCATTCTTTGACCCAAAACTGAATAGATCCAGTACTAGACCTGGTGGTTTTAATACTAGGGATACATCCAGTTGATGGTGTTAATCCTCCACCACAAATTTCACCATTCAGATGATCGGGAAGTGAGTTTCTACGGATCATCCAGCTTGGATATATCCTCGTTCTCCACCAACTTGGATCGTAAAAATGTCCGACATCGAGTGGATTCCAGTTGGATTTTCCAGAAACATTGGGATGTCACCTCAGACGTCCTTGCTGATAAACTTTCGGTCGCACATAGTCCCACGGGATTGTCTGAAAATATGGTACCAAAAAACCTCCATCCACAAAAAAATGATGGTTTCAAGCCACATTTTCCCCAATGTTTCATTGCCATAAAGTCAGTGGCTGTACCCCTTTTCAGGTACCAAACCCAAATCAGATGTTGACTTGGTGAAACATATGTCATCATGTGTCATTCTATATTTCCATAGATTTCCATTGATATTCCCATGTTGAATCCTCCAATTTTGCCATATCTCAATGGTATATCCCAGCCCACCTTCAGCGTCAAAGCCATCAAGTGCCAGTTGTGTACGCCCACAGAGGGCGCCCAAAGCACGGAGGAACTGTGGGCTCTTCGGGGTGTCATTCCTCATGGCTCAAAGCTACCAGCAAAAAATGGGCTCTTCGGGGTCTCATTCCTCGTGGCTCAAAGCTACCAGCAAAAAATGGGCTCTTCGGGGTCTCGTTCCACAATTTGTCTTTAAAAAGTTGCAGCAACGACAACAACAACAACAACAACAATTGCATGGCCATTCCATAGGAAAAATGGTGATCAAATGTGATCAACAAATTCTAATTGTTGGTTTCAACCCCTCTGAAAAATATTATGGAAAATAGAATTCATGTTTGAAACCACCAACCAAATGAGAAATAGGGATTTCACCCAAAGATGGGGCTTCAACTATCAACCGGGGTCTAACCAACAAGGCTAACAAGGCTGCTTGATGACTGCGAAAACTTCCAATTTTCTGGAGGATTTTTTGTTTCAAGTTGGCCTAGTCCGCTAGTCAAGGATACTCGCTACAACAGACACTGAGCCCATTTTTCGGCTCATAGGGGCAAGTCCTTCTCGGACTTCTCTGGGAGATAGCCAGTGACATGCGGAAATGTTTCTATGGGTCAAAATAATCCCCAAAACAATGGATGGCTTAGAGTTATTTACCCCCAGAAAAATGCCGAAAGTTGTGTTTCCAGGATGGAAAAAAGAGTATAGAAATAGTATAGATGCATATAGATGCTACATCTTGGGGGGTGCAGTGCTAAAATAGAAGAACTTGGTGGCTTCTTTGGTACCCCCCTTTTTTGGCCAGATATTCCTATGGCGCCGAGCCTAGGGCCTAGGACCCGGAGTCGAAATGCGCCTTGAAAATAGGGCACCTCCCCAATTCCACTGGTCTATCATCAAATTCCTTAGTTGTTCATGGCCATAACTTGATTTTTGATGAAAAAAAACGATTTAAAATGTTCATCCAGCCGCCTGTGAGTTCCAAGGCGCTTGATGGTCACACCTTCCAGGTAACTCAGCACGCGCACCAAGCAGAGACCGCGACTGAGCGGAGCCTCCAACTGAAAGGTCGAGCAATTCTCCCAGCTTCGCAGCACGTCCGGCACAGGCAACCCCTGGGGTCAGGCTACTGACAGCAAGGTTGCTCCCAACACCCCACATGCAAGGAAAAGAAACTGGCTAAATATGTATATAGATATATATATATATATACATGTGTATATATATATATATACATGTGTATATATATATATATCTATATATATATATACAGTATACATATATGTGTATATATATATATATATGTATATAGATATATGTATATAGATAGATAGATAGATAGATAGATATAGATAGATATAGATAGATATAGATAGATATAGATAGATATAGATAGATATAGATAGATATAGATAGATATAGATGGATATAGATAGATATAGATAGATATAGATAGATATAGATAGATATAGATAGATATAGATAGATATAGATAGATATAGATAGATATAGATAGATATAGATAGATATGGATAGATATCGATAGATATCGATAGATATCGATAGATATAGATAGATATAGATAGATATAGATAGATATAGATAGATATAGATAGATATAGATAGATATAGATAGATATAGATAGATAGAGATAGATATAGATAGATAGAGATAGATAGAGATAGATAGAGATAGATAGAGATAGATAGAGATAGATAGAGATAGATAGAGATAGATAGAGATAGATAGAGATAGATAGAGATAGATAGAGATAGATAGAGATAGATAGAGATAGATAGAGCTAGATAGAGATAGATAGAGAGATAGATAGAGAGATAGATAGAGAGATAGATAGCGAGATAGATAGAGAGAGAGATAGATAGAGAGATAGAGAGAGAGAGAGATAGATAGATAGCGAGATAGAGATAGATAGACAGAGATGGATAGAGATGGAGATGGATAGAGATAGATAGAGATAGATAGAGATAGATAGAGATAGATAGAGATAGATAGATAGATAGATAGATAGAGATAGATAGAGATAGATAGAGATAGATAGAGATAGATAGAGATAGATAGAGATAGATAGAGATAGATAGAGGTAGATAGAGGTAGATAGAGATAGATAGAGATAGATAGAGATAGATAGAGATAGATAGAGATAGATAGAGATAGATAGAGATAGATAGAGATAGATAGAGATAGATAGAGATAGATAGAGATAGATAGATAGAGATAGATAGATATAGATAAATATAGATAGATATAGATAGATATAGATAGATATAGATAGATATAGATAGATATAGATAGATTAGATAGATAGATAGATAGATAGATTGATAGATTGATAGATTGATAGATTGATAGATTGATTGATTGATAGATAGATAGACAGATAGATAGATAGATTGATTGATTGATTGATAGATAGATTGATAGATTGATAGATTGGTTGATTGATTGATTGATTGATTAGATAGATTAAATAGATTGAATAGATTAGATAGATTAGATAGATTAGATAGATTAGGTAGATTAGATAGATTAGATAGATTAAATAGATTGAATAGATTAGATAGATTAGATAGATTAGGTAGATTAGATAGATAAGATAGATACAGATAGATACAAATACAGATAAAGATACAGATACATATATAGATAGAGATATAGATATAAAAAATAATAATAATAATAATAAATCGCCCCTTGTGGCAATGATATATCTACAAGAGGTTGGAGCAACCGTGGAAAGCGGAGAACCAACAGCTTTTTCAGAAGCCGGCGTTCAAGGCCTATTCTGAGGATAAAGTATGTGCCACACTCGGTCGAAGTCAGTAGACTCAGTAGACAGCAGAAATCCGCAGAAAATAGTTTCGAACGTGTTCTTGATATAGATGAATATAGTTCAAAACAATGAAGACAAAAGAACCCAAAGACTAAAGACTGATGGTGATAGAGGAAGGCTCAAGTACCCAAAGAATCATGACAAAGAACCCCGGCGATCCCGACACAAATCTCTGTCAAGAAGCTCCAATACCTAGTTTCCAAACGCTTCTCGGAAGCTCACTGCCCCTCCTGCCCCTCCTGTTCTATGAGTCCGAATTCGCGTTCCCCTAACATGAACTCTGGTAAACAGCCACATAACTATGGATCATCACCATTTTTGAATGGGTAAATTTTCAATTTCTATGCCATGTTCAATAGCTATGTTACATGTTAGTCATTACCAAAGGGTACCCCCTACAAACCCTGATGGGAAAATCTCTTGGGGCTGCAACTCTCCCACCTGCTCGCGCAGGCGTGTGATCAATTGATCCTGAGGCGGTCGACGCACCACCCCGAGATGTTAGTTCTTATATACCCATAACATGCCGTATGTATATATATATATGCCATATATTAATATATATATATAATATATATATATATCCATAAAATATCCCCATGTTGGTTGAAATCGCCATGTTTGTTGGTTAAATACCTGAACCCATCCCCATATCCAGGCGATGTGGTTGGGGGAAACCACTCCAGGCCACACCTGTGCTTGTAGGCGTTCCAGCGAACCACTGGGCAATAGTCCGTTGTGAGCCTTCACCACATAGGTCCCACCCTGCGCAACACTTTGCACGGATTAAAATGGCATGGAAGTAGATCATTTACCTACTAAAAACGGTGATGTTCCATATTTATGTGAAAATCAGAGGCTAGTCAGGCTGATTGGGGTTGATTCTCGTGAAAAATCCAATCGATAGGAAGAAAATGGTTCAAGTTCAATTCAAGTCTGGGATCACGAATGTAAGACCAACAACTTGACTTGTTGTAAGTTTTGACCCTCACATGTCATTTTCCTCTTGGATTGGTCGGATTGGTCGGGACCCTCTTGTAGTCATAAAATGTCACTGGTAAATCATGGTAAATTCCCATGATCTTTTAGAAAATCATCCACAACAGTAGAGACGAATCGCTCATGTTCTATTGAACCAGCAATAATTTCAAGGAAAACCTCTGAAAACAACACATCGAAAAAGGCCACTTTGTGTCATGGTACGGTAATCAAGGCACCAAACATTTGGCCAACTCCACTCCAACATCATCAATTTCAGGTTTTGAAAACATGTTCAAGCCCAACATCCCATCAAAATCCTATCAATCACCAATCCAATGATTCATCTTACAGATCTCAGCTTCACCTCCAAGGTCACCCGCAGGTTGCGATCGTCCTCGGTTGGCGATCCATGGCAGGAGACAATCGGCTATCTGATAGAAAAGGATGCAACCGGCGATTTTAAAGATGCAGACAGTAGGTACCATGACAGTGTGATTTTTTCTGTGATTTTTTATTTGATATCTAACTGGCACGGGCGATCCCCACAAATGGCAGGGCATGGAATGCCCTGGTACTCTCCAACAAGGTATTTAAGTTGGGATTCATGTTTTTAAATTTATGGGCAAAAATGAACCTCATTTCTTCATTCAAAATCATTTTTGGTTGTTTTTGTAATAATGGGACAATTGAACATAGACTTTTGGGACAATAATGGTTTTTCCACTGGTTGTCTTTGTAATTTCAATATCTATGGGACAAAATGAACGGTCCCAGCTGCAACGGTCCAAGGGACCCTGAACGGTCCAAGGGACCCTGAACGCAACGGTGACCATTTTATGACCTTTTTGGGGCATCCCAACTAATGGGAATCCCAACATCATGGCTATATAAAGTTGGTTCGGATTAATATACATATTATATATATATACATATTTATTTATTAGGTATATTAACATATCACATCATATATCCCATTTAAATATATTTAATTCATCCCCCACAATCCAACTTGACGTCACAGATGACCTCCGATCCCCTCCGAGCCGCAAAGGAATCGAGTTCAGCCCATCGGAAGGGGCCACCTGACCGCATGGAACCGAAAATCCGCGAAGGTTTAGGGAAGATACCCTCTGGTAAACTAACATAACTATGGAAAATCACCATTTTTCATGGGAAAATCCACTATAAATGGTGATTTTCAATAGCAAACTGTTAGTTTACCAGAGGGTAAACAAATCATCCTGGAGATCATCTTCCATTGGATTTCCTGCCGTTATCGCTGTCACATCTGCCACGGGAACCTCTTTTGCTCAGAGTTCATGCTCGGCCAACTCTGGTCAAGAAATCAGCTCTATGGTTTTTGCTATCAGAAAAATTGCAGTTGGGGTCTAGGTTGGACCCGGATCGACAAATTTTCGAGATGTCTATTTGGTCTGCAAGTGATCCCTTCGGGGGGTAATCATGATCACGTAAATCAACCACGGTTTGCTAGTCTAGTCAGGTATTGACAGTATTTGGCCGCGGACCAAACCCATGGTAGGCCAGCTAAATCCCTTCACCCTCCGATTAAAGTGTGGGAAATTCATGGAAAAATCAAGCCGCACGACCCAACCCATCATGGGTTCATTACGCGTTTATCAACCACCAACAACATCCAACAACCACCTTTGAGCGCCTATGTATGCGAGAGGCGCCTGCAATCTGGAAGTGCTCCAAGATGTCTGGCAACTTGCTTACCAAGGTTTCCAAACATGGCCGGCCTTCTACCATGTCCCAACTCCCGTGAACCAGGCACCAACAGTGACGTGCTAAAAGGATTCCATGACAAGAAAGGCATCAAGTAAATCTGGGGCGTGGTGGATCAAAAGACATTGTGGCGGGCAAAAATATGGAAATTCCCTTTTAATACACCTATTGACGAACTATCTTGGGACCATCGAAACAAAATTTGGGTAGCGCTAAGCACAAAACAGGCCACCAATGCTACTGTTGTCGGTTGAGACAAAGCCTTCTACAGGATGATAATCATCAGAACAAACTACTTCTTGTTGCAACGAGTCAGAATTTATAATTGTGGCAGTTTCCAAGCACGGATTCTGGCAATTGTGCAGGTGTCCAGCACAAATAATCAGGAAATGTGGGAATGGTTCGTAATCAATGGACCCGAAAATGCTTAGTTTCGTAAAAAACGAAGACCACATTGTGTTTCAATCCTGTAAACATTTGGGTTTTCCTTGCGGGGTTTCACATGATCAGCTACTTTGAATTACTTTGAGCTGGACGCATCAACGGCAGCTATGTGGAGAGAGTGATGCGACAATCATGTCTGCCTTGATGCTGAATCTCCAAACACGATAGCATGGACTCTGCAGGATGTGAAAAAGTACTGCACTCATTTTTTATTTTGGCCAAAACCAAGTTGATTTGCCTGCAGACAAGGATGTAAACGAAGTTGATAACCCATAAATGATGTAATGTAAATGCTGTAAATGATGCGGATGATGTACATGTTGTCAATTGTCGATGTTGTAGGTGATGTGGATGATGTTGCAGAAGATGAAGGCAACATCATGATTCACATCATGTTTGTGTTGCAGGTTAGGCCTGCGAGCGCACTACGACCCTCGCAAACTGACCTACGACCCCTTCAAGACCATACCATACCTACGACCCTCAAATGTGTTTGTCAGGACGGCACCTGCAACCCTCATTGCCCCTCACTGCCAACTTACGACTTACAGGCCCTCAAACCCGCTTGTCAGCACGCTGCCACGACCCTTTTCGCACTTTAGCTGCAGCTGTTCTCCTTTCACTCGGGAGCCCCAGTTGTTTTTTTGTTTCCCGGGTATGGCCGATGACGCTCTGAGGCTCGGTCCTGTAATTTGTATAAGCTGTGAACTAAAGAATCAAATTGAACGCAGCGGTTCAAGCTGTACAGTGACAATTTGTGGCAATGAAAAACGGAAAACAAGACAAACCCAAACAAACCCAGGACGACCCGCAAATCCCCCAGCCAGATTTGCGTTTCGCCTTGCAAACAACGGCGAAGCAACAGCAGACCGGGGCCAGAGCCCAAACAAGAAACAACAAACACCAATTGCCACCAGACAAAGAGGGAAAGCTCCCTCTATGCCATATCAAAAAACATGCAAAGAAACTCAAAACGAATTAAGGACTTCCACGATGAGTAATCGGAGAAAAGACAGTTGTGCGGCTACACTGAAAATGATGAAAAGGTGAAACAGTCTATACATTCGCAAATTCATCCTCTCAGAGTCCTCTCAAGTGTGTTTCTTCTAGCATCCGCCAAAACTGTAGGTCCCTGATCAGAATGAAGTGAGTCTCACCAACCAACTGCACCGTGTAAATTGCAACACCAGTCATAAGTAGTTCCCCGATACGTCTGATCTGATGCCCCCCAACGAGGGGGGCACGACCGAAAGGTCAAAACGTGGAAGTGAAAGATTTGGGCTCAGCCAGAAAGCCCAGACCTAAAGAGACGGTGGCTCGCACACCAGGAAAGATCCGCACTATTTGGCAAGGGCAGCTAATCCGTGATGTCCGATGCTTGCATTCATCATAAGAGAGGTGGACAATAGGTGCCACAGGCTGTGCTCGAGGTCTGAGAATGAGAGTCAGAAACTACCGCTGCCCCAATAGTTTGCGTCTCTCTGAGGTGTGCTTACCTTTGGCGAGCGTGTGTCGCGATCAATTAACTGGGAAGTGCCATGCAGAGGTACTGCTGAAACGGCATGCACGTCACGGTCGCAACGATAGATCAGGGTGTTGTTCGGTTGTAAGTGTCTTCGTCTCGCAATGGTATCCGCAGCACCCTGTCTCAATAGTAAAGCTCATGAAATGAGCCATGACACAAAAAAAAATCCCGTAGCAGTTCATCGCTCAGGTACAGACTCCAATGTTCCGCGCCAGTGCAGCTCGCAGCAGGTGCATCATCAGACCATGGCGACGGCCGGCTACACACCCACCTCCCCCATCCCAACACTCAAAAAAATCAAAAATCAATAACTCCCAGCACAAACAAATTCAAAAAAGAAACAACGGGGAAGGGGGCAAGGCCCCCAAAACCGAATCAATGCAAAATGAGAGGTAACATGCTAGGCAAGGCTAAACTCACAGAATCCTCAGTTGCCTGACAGGCCACGTGCTCCACCTGGGGTAACGCACAGTACCAACTCGTCCAATCCAGGGACGTGAAGGTGCCACCAACTCATCCAATCCAGGGACGTGAAGGTGCAATGCTTCTTGTGGAAAGGTCCCGGTGCATTGCCCTAGTAGAGAAGACGCTGGATTGCACCGAGACCCACGCACCAGGACAGCCTGGCTACTGTCATCCAAGGATATGGCCATGGCCAAGGCCTGGTAGAGCCGACTATCATGTTAGGCTTCAAGCCCATGGGCCAGCCATTACCCCATCACCTGGCGGGATCACACCAGAACGCTGGAGACAAGATGCTACTGTGTGTCCACCCAACTGGCCAACAGATTGTAGCCTGTTAGGGAATGGCACCACAAACACCGCCTCCATCATTTTGCTGATTTGTTGCACCAACGATTGGATCATCGACACATGTTCTCTCATTGGATCGTCAATGCTGACACCTTAGCAGGGCGGGTCTTCTACCAGTCGCCTGCAATTTGGTTTTCAGATACCACGTTACAAGAACAATGGCGAACCCTCGATTTCCCTAGTGGAACACTGAGGCGCAACCTGCCGCAACAGGACATTGCCGTTTTCGCAGCAAAGGAAGTAGGGGCTACGGCGGACAGCTGCTGAGCGGGAAAGCCACGCTCCCGTGTCATTTGCACTTGACAACAGCTGGTCTGCGACATTGCGTGACGACAAACGGTACTATATAGAGACAGCCTCACTCCTAAGTAATCCTTAGTAGTTGACCTTAGTGGGATCGTACCAGCCCAAAACCTAAGATGGAGCTAGCACGACCCATGGGGGAGGATGAGGGAGAGGTGCAGCAAGGGGAGGGGGGGAGAGGGAGCACATAAGTACGCAGGCTACATGTCACAGCAGGAGGAGTGACAACATGTAGCGTTAGCGGGTAATGAGGTGGTGAAGTGGGGCCATGCGCAGATACGCAGGACCGTCGCAATGTGAAAACAGCAGATGCCACAACAACGTGTACAACATGGTGGAGAGGGAGAACCCCACACAGTGCAAAAGCCTTTGGTGCCATGAAGCACAGCGAGGAGCTGGACCAGCCATAAACACACTCCGGACAGGCGAAGCAAGGCCTCAGAAAAGCTTACTTACAAGGGAGGCCCCAACTCCGTCTCCAAAAATCATATCAATTTAAGGGGCCAAAAACGAACCCAAAACTAGTCCCTTTGTACCTGCTTGTCTTGGTCATGACAATCTTTCCCTTCTGTTGTGTTGATGAAAGAGGTCCCGTGTTTCCAAAGCCTGCAATCGAGGCGCTTCGAGGCTCGGCGAGGCCTGGCCGAGGCCACGCCTCGGACGCAAAACGTATTGGCACAAGGACAATGCGAGGCTTACGGGGACTCGAAACTATATAACACTATTGCTGAAGTCCCAGCAAGGCTGAACTTGAAGTAGTTGGCAACTGTCCTGCCTTGCTAGAATTTTAGGCCGCAGCTGGCGCAGAGGGACGGCCTCAAGGCAAGCCTCGAGGCTTCAAGTTCATGGAAATTGCAGCAAAACAGAAAGTTTATAAGATGAAACAAAGTTGAAGGCAGGCCTCAATGCAAGTCTCGAACTCCAGTGTCCCGAGACCATGGAAAATAGAACAAAACATCTCAGGGCAAGCTTCGAGGCAGGCTTCGAGGCAGGCCTCGAGGGCCTCAAGCCGATGGAAATTGAAACAAAACAACATGACAAAGAAGGGACCCTTTTTTTGCTCCTCAAAACGTAAGAAAAAGCAGGCGCGCAAAAATGGGCCTCCCCAGTTCAAGCTTCCACTCGCAGCTGTTCCTGGTCAAATCAGCTTCAACTTGAAATAAACGCTTCAACAGATTTGCCACAATGAAGGGACCAAAACTGGAACCTCCAGGGGGGACCACTTTTGATTTCAAGGGGGTCCACTTTCTGACTCCTTTTTAAACACGTTTCCTTTGCACGGGGGTCCAAAACTGGACCCGCAACAGGTTGAATCCGGTGCCTGCTTCGAGGTCCGGCTTTAAGCCCACCCAAGCACCTTCTTCAGCTGCGCTGTTCCAATGTAGAAACGCATCAAACCAACACCGAGTTGGCAATAAGGGCCTCGAACAAGGAGGGCGGGCCCACCCCCTTCGTCGAAGGGGGGCTTGAAGGGGGCGCTTAAGGGGGTGCTTAAGGGGTCATGAAGGGTGCCCCCCTCCCCCCCTTGAAGAGGGGAAGCCCTTAAGGAGGGGCTTAAGGGGGGGGCTTAAGGGGGATCTTGAAGGGGGGGCTTCAAGGGAGGCTTAAGGGAGGGAGGTAAGGGGATGCTTAAGGGGTGGCTTATATAAGGGGGGGCTTATATAAGGGGAGGCTTAAGGGGGGGCTTCAAGGGGGGGCTTCAAGGGGGGCTTAGGGGGAGGCTTAAGGGGAGGCTTAAGGGGGGGGCTTCAGCCTCCCTTGAAGCCCCCCTTGAAGCCCCCCCTTAAGCCCCCCCTTGAAGCCCCCTTTGAAGCCCGAACTTAGGCACCGCCCTTAAGCCCCACCTTGAAGCCCCCCTTGAAGCCGCCCCTTAAGCCGCCCCTTAAGTCCCCCCTTAAGCCTCCCCTTGAAGCTCCCTTGAAGCCCCCCTTAAGCCCCCCCTTAAGCTTTCGCTTAAGCCCCCCTTAAGCCC